ACTGTTGTTGTTATTACATGTCATCAAGTCCAAAGCAATGCACAGATAACTAACCATTCAGTGGGTTTGTGGTAAAGAGCTGTTGTGCAAATCCAAAGGTACAAGATTTGCTTCACAGAGAAAGAGGGGTAATTAACTTCTGTGCAATTTACAGCCTCTGAAAACCAACTGCAGGGTCAGTAATGAATAAGTTCCAGCTCACTGGTACGTAACAACAATATAACAAAATATTCTCCTGAAGGAGAATGCCATCTTGCTCTTGCAAAGGAAATGAGAAATATGAGCCTTGAACCTTGGATTTGAACCTTGTGCCTTTGGATTGGCATACAACTTCTTACCACTAAGCCACTAGATTTTAAAAAATAGATACAATTATTAGTATTGAAATTTTTTATTTAAGAATTAAATTGGTGTTTCCAAATCTATAATTTTGACCAATGGGTAATGTATTTAAATATTTTTCTCTGACACAATTTACTTTATAAGGATATTTAATCCATTTTTTAAAAATATTTTTAAATTTTTTATTATACCAGTTTGTTTACAAAATTCGAATGATTGTTTATCAGAACAGATTCCAATTTCCCTCACCCTCACATTCATCAAATTGTACAACCCCATGATTAATCACCCCCCACTGCAGGTCCTCATTCATCTGCTTCCACCCTTCCCCTCTCTTGGATCATTATACTCATTAAATCATTTTTTTATAATATAAACTTAAATAAAATATTAAAAACTTACATCTCCTCCCCTAGCTCCATATTACCTGCTGCTTTTACTTTCTTGCCTATCCTCATAATAGGAAGACCTGGTTTAGGGACCTTTCCAAATTATTGTGGAGTAATGCTATCAGTTGAAGGACTAAGGTGCGTATAATTTAGGCCATAGTCTTTCCAATTACTAAATATGCACCCAAGACCTGAACAATGAATAAGGATGACAGAAAAACAATTGATTCCTTTGAGCTGTGGTGTTGGAGAAGAACACTGAATATCTCATGGATGGCCATGGGATGAACAGATGTGTCTTGGAGAGGGTGCAGCCAGAGTGCTCTTTGAAGGAAAGAAAGATGAGGCTTCACCTCATATATTTTGGACATATTGTAGGGAAGGGTGGAGGGTAGGCAAAGGAGAAGAAGATCCTCAACCAGGTGGATTGACATGGTTACTGCCGCAATGAGCTCAAGTGTGTCATGAAGTCTGAGGATGGTGCAGGACAGAAAAGGGTTCAGACCTTTTGTTCATAGGGTTGCTATGAGTTGTTTTCAACTCAATGGTACCTAACAACAACAACAACAACAACAACAACAATAAGGTAAAGACAAAACAAAGCAAAACAAAACCCCCAACAACCAGAGTTATAAAACATAGTTGCTTTGAAGAATTCTATAAAGAGCCAGTCTCAGCTCTGTGTGTGGATGTGATGAATTTAAAGCTAGACAAATTTGAGATAATAAGCAGGAAATATTGAAAGTAATTGTTGTTGTTGTTGTTATGTGCCATCAAGTTGCTTGCGACTCATAACGACCCTATGTACAAGAGCTCTAAATGGTGTTCTATCCTGTGCCAACCTAGCCATCTCAAACGCACTTATTCCCACTGCTCCAGTCACAGAATCGATCTCTCTCACCAAAGGTCTTCCTCTCCTTCACTTCCCCTCCAGTCTGCCAAACATGATGTCCCTTTCCAAGGACCAGTGCCTCCTTGCAACATTCCCAAAATATGTCAGATGAAGCTTCAGAATCCTTGACTCCAGGGAACACTCTGGCTTCACCCTCTCCAGGACAAACCTGTTTGTTCTCCTAGCAGTCCATGGTATATTCAACACTCTTCTCCAGCACCACAGCTCAAACGCATCAATCCTCTTTCTATCAGCCCTATTCACCGTCCAACTCTCTGATGCATAGCACATAACTGCGAAGACTATAGCCCGGATCAGGCGCACCTTAGTCTCCAGCCTGACATCGTCGCTCTTCAGTACTCTTGAGAGGTCCCTCACAGCCAACTTTCCCAGTGCAATTTGTCTCCTGATTTCCTGGCTGCTGTTACCAAGAGCATTGACTGTGGAGACAAGTAAATTAAAACTGTTAACTATCTCAATCTCCTCACCATCCATGCTGATGCTGCCAATTGGCCCAGTGGTTTGAATCTTTGTTTTCTTGATATTTAGCTTCAGTCCATATAGGAGGCTGTAATCCTTGATCTTCTGCAGCAAGCACTTCAGGTCCTGCTCAGTTTCAGCAAGCAGGGTTGTGTCATCTGCATAACGCAGGTTGTTGATGATTCTTCCACCAATCCTGATGCCACATTCCTCTTCGTATAGCCCAGCGTCTTGGATGATCTGTTCTGCATACAGATTGAAAAGGTATGGAGACAGAATACATCCCTGACGGACCCCCTTCTTGATTTTGAACCATGTAGTGTCTCCTTGCTTTGTTCTGACAACTGCCTCCTGGTCCAAGTATAGGTTTCACATTAGCACAATCAAATGTTCTGGGATTCCCATTCTTCTTATAGTCAGCCACAGCTTGTTGTGATCCACACAGTCAAAAGCCTTTGAATAGTCAATGAGGCACAGATAGACATTCTTCTGGTATTCTTTGCTTTCTGCCAAGATCCATCTGACATTAGCTATAATATCCCTAGTACCACGACCTCTTCTAAATCCAGCCTGCACATCTGGCAGTTCTTTGTTGACATATTGTTCCAAACGTTTTTTGATAATTTTCAGCAGAATCTTGCTTGCATGTGTTATCAATGATATTGTTAGATAATTTCCACACTCTGTTGGGTCACCTTTCTTTGGAATGGGGACAAATATCGATCTTTTCTAGTCAATGGGCCAGCTGGCTGTTCTCCAAATTTCTTGGCACAACTTAGTGAGCACATCCAGGCCAGCGTCTGTTTGTTGAAATATGTCAATTGGTATGCCGTCAACTCCTGGAGCCTTGTTTCTTGCCAATTCCTTCAGAGCAATTTGAACTTCCTCTTTCATCACCATAGGCTCTTGCTCATATGTCATTTCATGAAATTCTTCTGTGTCAGCCAATTCCTTCTGATACAGTGACTCTGTGTATTCCTTCCATCTTGTCTTGATACTTTCTGGATCATTTAATATACTGCCCAAAGTATCCTTAAGTATTGCCACCCGTGGTTTGAATTTGTTTTTCAGCTCCTTCAGCTTAAGAAACACTGAGCGAGTTTGGCCCCTTTGATTTTCTGACTCCAGCTCTCTGCACATTTCATTATAGTATCTTGTTTTATCGTCCCGGGCTGCCTTTTGAAATTTTCTGTTTAGCTCTTTGATTTCTTCCTTTAGCTTTGGCTTCTCGGCACTCTAATGCAATATTCAGAGTCTCATCTGACATCCATCTTGGTCTTTTCTTCTTTTTCATCCTTTATAACGATCTTTTGCGTTCTTCATGTACGATTTTCTTGATATTCTCTCAGAGCTCATTTGGTCTATGCTCATTGGTGCTCAAGGCCTCAAACCTGTTCCTGAGATTGATTTGGAATTTGAGTGGGATAGACTAAAGGTCAAATTTTGGTTCCCATGGACTTGATTTAATTTTCCTCAACTTCAGTTTGAACTTGCATATGAGTAGTTGGTGGTCTGTGCCACAATCAGCACCAAGCCTGGTTTTCACTGCTGATATTGAGCTTCTCCACCAAGTCTTTCCACAAATATAATCTATTTGTTTCCTATGCATACCATCAGGTGAGATCCATGTGTACAGCCTGCGTTTATGTTTCTTATAAAAGGTATTTGCAATGAATAAATCATTGAATGTGCAGAACTCTATCTTTCTATCTCCAGCCTCATTTCTCTCACTGAGCTCATATTTTTCAGCTACTGAACCTTCTTCTCTGTTCCTCAACTTTTGCGTTCCAGTCGCCCATTATTATCAATGCATCTTGATTGCATGTTTGATCAACTTCTGACTGCAAAAGTTGGTAGAAATCTTCTATTTCCTCCTCTTTGGCTCTAGTTGTTGGTGCATATATTTGAATAATAGTGGTATTCACTGGACTTCCTTGTATGCGTATGGATATTTCCTATTGCTCACCACATTGTATTTCAGGATGGATCTAGAAATGACTTTTTTAATTATGAAACCAACCCCATTTTTTCCTCACCTTTTCATCCCCAGCATAGTAAGTCATATAATCTTCTGATTCAAAATGTCCCATGCCAAGCCATCTCATTTTGCCTATACCTAGTATGTCAATATTTATGCATTCCATTTCTTTCTTAACAATGTCCAATTTTCCTACATTCATGCTTCTCACGTTCCATGTTCCTATCACTAGTGTCTGCTTACAGCTGTTCCTTCTTCTCTGTATTCCTAAGATCTCAGTCTCAATTGCCATGTCTGCTAGTCCTAGCAATAGTCTAAGTGTGCTCTACTGTACGTAGGGTTTTCGAAGGCCTGTCTTTTCAGAAGTGGATGGCCAATCCTTCTTCCAAGTCTGTCTCAATCTTTAAATATATATAGTAGTATCTAACAGACAAACATTCCACGGAAAAGAACCGATGAAAGACAATTGCCCAGTTATGACAATCACCAATAGATTCAATGTTACAGCCCACCAATGTTTTCTTGCTCCACCACCATCTCTTCTTCCTTTTGCCTACACCATTCAATACCCATCTCCCATTGACCAGCCCCTGATTGAAAGTAACTAAGAAAATTTTACTATTTGGCCCCAAAATTTTGCACTGACCACTGACTTTTGCAAATCATTGTTATGATATCTATCCTGACTACTCTCCTATGCATGTTACTTCCATCCCTACTTCTCAGCAGTCTAGTGTGTAGGGAGTTGCACTGCCAACCCAAAGGCCTTCCCTCAGTAGTGGTTTGAATCTACCAATGGCTGAGTGAGAAAAAGATGAACAACTTCCTCCTGTGCAATTTACAGTCTCAGAGACTCAGTAAAGGATCAATTATGAGTTAGTTCAGACTTGTCTGCAATGAGATTGAGTTTTGTTTTGCTTTATTCTTTCAGATTGCATTTAACATTATCTCCTCCCCGAATGATTAATATAGGGTTAAGAAGTTTTACCTAAAGGAGAAGAAAAACAAATATTTAAATTGGGAATTTGGTGTTTGTTTATGAAAAGCTATGTGTATTAACTGATGTTTTCAGAAAAGCGTTGCTTGCCGTTACAGTGGTATAGGTGAAAAGGGACTTCTAGTTCTTCTCTATCCTCTTTTTCACGTGGTATATACTTTTGTAGTTCATATGTTATTCGGCAAATTATCTTGAGGACAACTTCAGGATTACTGAGTAGCTAAACCATATATTTATATTTTGTTCAGATTTATTTAATGTTAAGTATGTTTTCCATAAGGAGGATAAGCCTATAATGTATTGTTTTCAAATAGAAGAAAGACAATGATGTAAGAACATAGAAGAATGTGGTGACCCTATTTAATCATAAGTATGAAATAACTCCAATACAAATGGTTCTAAGTAACCAAACACTGTGCTGATATAAAATGTTATACTTGCCTCTGTAAGAACTGGAGCTATCATTAAAGATGAACCCCAGAGGAATGCTTTGTCAATTTCATGAGTCTGAGGATCTGATGTAAATCTAGGTTTTAAGGGTGAAAAATCACAGATTTACTAAAAATAATACCTGGGTATAAAAGGTAACAATCTTACTCAGTCACCAGTTTCTGTGTTCTTGGGTTCATGGTGGCCAATACCAGTAAGATCAAATATACCGAAAAGGAATGATTTTAGGGTAACAGCAGTTTTAAGAGGAATAAAAATAAAAATCTAACCATAAGCAAAGCAACTGAAATCAGTTGGCTCCCCTACCAAAGAATAAAGATCTGGTCACAGTATAGGAAACAAGTTGTCTAAATTCCTTTTTAGATTTTTAAATGATACTTTTAATTGTTGGTCTTTTCCTTCTGCATCCCCCACAGCTTGTGTGCTCCAGCCCCAGCCCCATGTCCTTTCCCTATATCATTTAACATTAACCTTTCCAAGACATTTTGCAGTAGCTGTAGCTTATGCCACACTATCAAGATAGTGCAAATACACACTGTTCCATATTATACTCTAGTTATTTCAAATAACATGTTTGCTGTCTTTCTAATTTCCTGATGGCAGAGGCCAAGTTCTATTCTTTTTTACAGATTTCCTCACTCTCTTTAGGTGACTAAGCATAGTCTTTGTTTTAATTCAATTCTTAGTAATTTTTTTAACTAAATTCTTTATACTAGCTCATAAATTATTTCTAAACACATTCAGAAGTAAAAACAAAACCTACTGACTAATTATATTGGTGATTCCCTGAATATTTCCCCTCTTAGAAGAACCCAGGCTTCCAGAGTCCACATATTATAAAAGCTAGTAACTCTAAAATAGTTCTTAACTGTAACTGTTACTTACTCGTGCATCAGTCCTCGAATCACTGTACTTCCCTTGGTATGTGAATGGTAGAAGAGGGTGTACAAGTAAGGCAGCAGTGTGTATCTAATCAATAAAGCAGTTCGGGCAGCTGTAGCAAACTTTTGTCCAAACACACCAGGATCTTGTTCCTAGTTAAAAAAGAAAATAATTCAGTATATTTAGGGTCGCTATGAGTCGCAGGCGACTCGACGGCACATAACAACAACAACAACAACATTTATTATTTGAAGTGTAATGATTGCAGACTTAATTCTTTCTTGTTTTAGAAGGAGTGACACACACACTTTTTTTTAATATCATGTCTATATTTGAAAGTCTTTCACATAATGGAGTGCTGCAGAAAGGCCATCATTGGCAATTTTTGCAACTGAAAATCAAAAGTCGTTTCTAAATTAACTATATACTGCACAGTTTACAATTTGCATTACATAGGATTTGATCTCTGTACTCTGTTACCAATAGAATTTCAAATAATTTTTAGGTAAAAGTCATTAAAATGTCTTCTTAAGAGAGATAACCTGCCATGCAAGTGAGGACTGAAAATGGCATCTGCTTGATTATGCCTTCCGAATGAAGAATCTTAACCCAGATCCCGTCTGCCTACCGTCAAAACAAAAATTTGGAATTCAGTAGATCGCTGACTTGCTAATGGAGAATAATGCAAATAACGTATGTCTGCCATCTGTTACTCTAAGTTATGAAGAGAGAAATTGTTCATAGGTTATTTAACAAGATGTAATAGACCTTTTGAGGAAAAGAGTGGATTATAAACAACATATTTTTCAAGAATAATTGTTCTTGAAAATTTATTTATCTTGAGATATTTATTTCTTGTCATTCTTCCTTTTTCTCTTTGAACATTTAATTGTGATTTATGTGAACGTTTACAGAGGATATTAGCTTCAGATCCAATCTATATTTTACCATTCTCTTGAAGATCTTATTACTATAATTACTTTTATAAAAGGCCAATGACACATTTTTAAAGTATGTGAAGGAAAAGACTATTTTTATTTGCAATTTACACACACACACACACACACACACACACACACACATATATACATATATATATATATATATATAATTTTTTTTGTTGCCCCAGTTTCGACCACAAATTTTAAAAAGTGTTGAGTATAGCACTTATAAATTCACTTTTACTTGCCTGGCTTTCAAGTGAATTATGGTTTCTGGAATATGGGTAAAAGGCTCCTACTTGCATCCAGCGCAGGCAAAGCTCATAATTTGTATCTTCATTAAAACCACATATATCAGCTCCGACCTATGGAAATATTTTTACATTGCTATGTTACCAAAATAAATAACTTTTAGACCTAGTTATAAAACACATTTAAGAATTTCAGGTTACGCTATTTTGGAAAAAAAATGTGTTTAGAATTATATGGGTACTGCTTTCATGCTGTGGAATCTAAAAGCATTAAGCATGTCATACTTGGATCTATAATCAATACATTTGTTACCAGCAATCAGGAGATCAAGAGATGTACTTCACTCAGAAAGTCTGTAGTCGGAGACCTTTCCAAATTATGGAGAAGCAAAGATGTTAGTTTGAAGACTAAAGTGGGTCTGATTCAAGACATGGTCTTTTCAATCACTTACCATGTACCTGAGACCTGGACAATGAATAAGGATGACAGAAGAAGAATTGATATCTTTGAGCTGTGGTGTTCGAGAAGAGCACAGAACAGCCCACAGATGGTCAAAAGAACGCATATGTCTTAGGGAAAATGAAGCCAGAGTCCTCCTTGGAGGCAAAACTGATGGAGCTTCATCTCACATATTTTGAGCATGTTGCTAGGAGAGGTTAGTCTTTGAAGGAGGACATCATGCTTGGAAAAGTGGAGGGATGGCAAAGGAGAAGAAGAACTTCAGGCAAACTGACACACTTGCTGAACCAATGGGCTTGAGTGTGTCTGAAAATATAAGGATGACACAGGATAAAATGGGTTCAGATTTGTTGTTTATAGGTTGCTATAAGTCATACTTGAGTCAATAACACCTAACAACAACAACTCTTTATAAGAGTATTAGAACCCCTTACATTCACAGCCTTGGTAAAAAGAAAAACAAATCCAAAATCTGGGCTACAATGTAATATAAGCAAAAAGGAATTGCAGTGCCAATTCAACACAGCAGAGTTTGAATCTACCAACTGCTCAGTAGGAGAAAGATGGGCCATCTCCTCGTATGAGACTTACTGCATCTTAAAACCCTAACAGAGTCAGCTGAGTGGCTTCTGACTCAACAGCACACAACAGCAATGCACTTAAAACACTATTAATCTCAAAGTGCAATATTATAAATTGCCTGTCTTTTCATGTAATAAATTAGAAAAAGATACAGAATGTTTACAATCCAGTGGGCTAAACCAAGAATCCTAGTGACTGAACACTCAGGCTGGAAAAAGGGACTCCGGTTGATTGCAGACTGTCACAAATAGGCTTGAGCATATCAGAAATGGGGAGGATGGGGTAGGCTTGGGAAAAGTTCAGATCTGTTTTCCGGGATTGCTATGAGTCTTAGTCTACTCAGTGATTAACAACACCAACATTGCTTTACTGTTTATCATAAATTATTGTTGCTGTGAGTACCATTGAGTTGGAACTGCCCCACAGCTGACTTCCCAGCAGGTTTTCAGAGGCCGTTAATTGCATGGGAGGAGACTGCCATCCTTCTCCTCCAGAGCAGCTGGTGGATTCAAACTGCATGCCTTTGGGATTGCAGTGCAGTTTCTTACCACTGGGCCACCAGAGCTCCCCTTCCACATTATATGTTCAAATTTTAATGTTTTTAATCAATGAGCTGAATCTGCTTGGAAATGGATGGAGAAGTGGAGAAGAGGTTGAGGCTGTTAACAACTTGCTTGCTCGGCTCCACAACCAACACTCTTGGCACTAGCAGTTAGGAAATCAAAAGACAAATTTCATTGGGGAAGTCTGCTGTCAGGGACCTTTCCAAAGTGCTAAAAGGAAATGTTTTCAGTCTAGATACTAATGTGCACTCAATTCAGGCCATGGTCTTCACAATTACCTGCTGTCCATCAGAGAGTTGGACAATGACTAAGGATGACAAAAGAAGAATTGATGCCTTTGAGTTGTGGTGCTGAAAAATTTGTATTGAACATACCATAGTCCAGCAGGAGTAAAAACAAAACTTTCTTAGAGAGGGTAAAATCAAGTTTCTTCTTGGAAGCAAGGATTTTGAAGCTCTGTCTCACATACTTCGGACACATGGCCGGGAAGTACTAGTCCTTGTAAAAGGACCTCATGATTAGAAAGGTTGAGGGACAGTTCAGAAGAAGAAGACCATGGATAAGATGGATTGACACAGTAACCGGGGCAATAGCATTAGGTATGTCTGGCTCAGGATCGGGTAGGGTTCAGAGCTATTGTGCATAGGGTTGCTAGGAGTTGCATGTGACTTGATGGTACATAACAACAACAAAAACATATTCATTATGAAAATGTACATCCAAATATATGAAGCATCCACACAATTAACACCCAGGTGGAGCGTCTGATGGAAATAGCTGGTTAAGGTTTGCCAGGTTGGGGAGGGGGGAAGAATAACACTTAAGTACTTGTTTGTGTGATCATAATTAAGGACAGGTTCTATATCTAACTACATTTGTGATATACAGAAGTGTATTAGACATAGAAATGTGCCTGCACATGCAAATTATACCACATGAAAATTGTTTGCAAACCTGGGGACCAAGGAGTATGTTGGGTGACTTAAGCTGAGGAATGGGCACAACCCATGCTCTGATCTAAACTTTTAGCCTCTAGCACTGAAAGATAAAATCCTGTTCTTTATTATTTGTAGATGTCTTGCAAAAGGAACTAAGACTATCTTTTTAAATATTGATGAACTCTGTATTCATCATTGAATAAGCCACACTAATTTTATAACAAGCAATGATAAAGAATATAATTATTTGAATCTTGGATGTATTTGAATCAGATCACATTCAATAAGCCTAACTTATTCCTCCAAAGCAAAATACACAAAACTATATGGAAAAAAAAATTTACGAGTAGAAAATATTTGCATGTTGAAAGATACAAATGAAGCTGCTATTTCCCAGCACGTAAAGGCATCTTCCATTAGGGACCTCATGAAGATTTCAAAGCGTGACACTAAGAGAGAAGAGGTCTTTCCCAGAGAGCAACTACAGGCTGTGTGTTTATGTCTCTTTTTCTTCCTCTCCTCTTGGGCAGCAGATAAGATGTTCAGCAGAGACATAGATAAGGGTGTAGAAGAAAGTTGGCAGCCAGAGAGACAGAGGACAGGTCAAGAAATGGGAATCCAGGCAGGGGAGGTAGGAGAGGCATATTATCACCACCAACTCATGTAGGATATTTTCATTTGGGGCCACTATTCAGTCCATTTCCTCATTCCTCTGGTCTCCCTCCTAACACACATCCATTGGTGTGGTTTATTCTTAAGACGAACCTGGTGAGCTATTTGCTTTATGAGTTTATTGAGTACTTCCCGTGTACGGGATACTAAGATGGCCAGTTTTATGTGTCAGTTGTGTGAGGCTATGTTATGATTGTTTTTAGGTGCCTGGCCCTGACCAACCCTCACAAGCACAGCAATGTTTGAAACCACTGCAGTCACTGTGTGGATGCATCCTCATTGGGGCTTTCCTCTTTTTCACTGACCCTCTGCTTTATCAACCATGATGTTCTTCTTTAGGGATTGTTCTTTCCTGGGCAGGCTAGAGAATCCAGTCATTCAAAGGAACTCAAATCTACGCATTGTCTGAAGCAATTTTGTAGATGTGATTTTAAAATTGATAGATGCCTTAAAGCAGAGGGGATTATATTCAATAATCTACATGGAACTCATCCGATCAATTAAAAGAGTAAATCTGAGGTTTCCATGAAGAAGAAATTTGTCTTTTAGAGTGCAACCACAGCTCCTCACCTGAAGCTCCAGCCTCAGAATTGCATAACTGAGATCCGTGGACTACTGACATGCACATTATTGTCAATAGCATCATGTTCACTAAGACTCAGCGAGGAAGTATCTGTTTAAAGCTACTTGACTTCCTGACATCTAATGAAAGCCTCTCCCAGACCTGAAGTTATTTTATTCCAGTTCCAAGTTCTTTCAGAAATATAATCTTTAGCCCCACAGCTTGAGCTTTTTTTCCAGTGTTTGTTGCCCTCATTAAAACAAAACAAAACAATAAAAACAAAACATTAAGCACGGAGTTTTATAACATGCCAATTGTTGGGAAAATGTTACTCATGCAATGGGGGTAATAATTTTATTCTATTTCACTACAAATGTGTTGCTATGAGTTGTACTAGACTTGATAGCACCTAACAACAACAATAACAATGCTACAAATATTGCCATGGACAATGAGGAGGTCTTGAGCTCTTCCTGTCTGAAATTGTTTGCATTAAAATGCAGGAAACCAACCCATCTACCACTGGTCAATTGACTTTTGACAAGGAGACAAAATCCATTAAGTGGGAAATGGAAGCCTCTTTAACAAGTGGTGCTGGGAAAACTTGGCACCTATCTGCAGAAAACTAACACAACATCCACAAAACTCAGCTCAAAGTGTATTAGGAACCTAGGGATAAAATAAAAAAAAAACTATAAAGATCAACAGAGAGGAAAAAGAGTGAACAAACTGGGAAACCCTGTCTATGAATGGGCTTTCAGACACAATCTAAAGTGTACAACCAGGAGATTATAAGTTGATAAATGAGAACTTCTAAAACATAAAATCCTTGTGTACAACAAAAAATCCTTCTAAAATAAAGTAAAAAGTAAGCTCACAAACTGGAAGAAAGTATATGTAATACATATCTGACAAGGAACTTAGAACTATATTTATATAATATTATAGCATCTCAACAAGAAAAAGACTAATAACTCAATTACAATATGGGTAGAAAATATTAAAAGACTTTTCAATGAAGATATTCCAATGACCAAGAAACAGATGAAGAAATCCTTAATATACTGGCTGTTAGAGAGATGCAAATCAAAATAACCACGAGATATTATTGAACCCTAGCAACAATAGTAAAGTCTAATAAAACAACAAATGACAGATACTGGAGAGACTGAACTTTCATGCATTGTTTGTAGGAATGTAAAATGCTCCAACCACTATGGAAGGCAGTCTGATGTTTCCTCAATATATTGAAGATAAAAATTCCACTTGATCTAGGTATTATATAACTGTGAACTAACAAAATATGTTGTTGATGTTGTTGTTGATTGACTTCAAGTCAAGCACAATTCTTATCTACCCTATGAACAAAAGGCCTTAAGACCCTCTACGACTATTGACATTTATCAAAGTTTATAGAGTTTCCAGAGGCATGTTATTTAGGAAGTAGATGCCAGTACAAGAAATTATAACTGAAGAAATCAGAGCCAAGACGAGAACAGATGTATGTACACCTAGATTTACTGAAACATTATTCACAAAAGCAAGGTGATGGAAGCAACCCAAGTGCCCATCAACAAACAAAAGAATAAAGAAATACACACACACACACACACACACACACATACAGAAAGAGAGAGAAATTAATGTAATGGTATTTGAAGTGGTATTAAAAACCAAGGGAAAACTCATGAAACACTACACAATATACATGAATAAAGAGTGCATTGTAACTCAGTCACACACAAATAAATACTGTATTAGACCTCTGTTTATAAAAATAGGACGGTTATGGGTGGGTGGGAAACGGGAAGAGTGGAATAAAATGGACAGAACATTAACACTGTAATGGATTAATGAGAGGGAACATCAACCTGAAACGAATGGAAAATTGATAAAATGTATATTGCAATTCACAGTCTAGAATAGGACAGGCATACTGAATGTAGTTAACCAATCTCTTGAGCAACAAAAGTCATTCTCACTAAATTTGCACTATCCATAATATCAAATACTGCTTTTAAAAAATCATAGAGATATGAGTAACCTATTAGGAAAAAACTGTCTAGATTTCAGCACTACAGCAAATGTTTCATAGTGAATTTGTTCTTTTATCACTGATGGGCAAAAAAAAGGAGTATTGTTCTATGTGTTTGGAGTATTTAATTTCCCCCCTTCATTGGAGACATCTCTTGATCAAACTTCTTTCTTCCAAATTGCCTTCCCCCCCCCCATTATCTAGAAAATTCATAAAAATATATATTGGAGAGGAGACATTGATGGAGTTGGAGTAGAGATGTGTAACAGAAAGAAATAAACTTCTACAATTATGCTATACTCAAGTATTTTTTTTTGTGAGTTAAAACAGGGAAATAAAAGCATTAAGAAAGATATAGTTTCCTAAAATCTGTGAATGTGATCTGCTTGCATAAAGATTGCATCCTAGAAAATTCCCTGGGATATTTCTACCATTCTGTCTCTTAGGAAAGGATGAATCTAATATTGACTAAGCTACACCCCATATAAAAAACAGAGATTAAGAGAATTTTGATAGTGGCTATATGAAGTATATGATTTGGCTTGAATACAACTTCAGAGCATTTTGTTTTGATATCTGGATACAAACTCAGCTAATATGGACACAAACATTTTAATACAATTGGCTAATTCATTTTAAAACTTACGTATGGAATCCCAAAGAGATTAAATTCTAGCATGCCAATGATTGACATATGCAAATCTTTCCAACGTGAATAGTTATCACCCAGCCAATGGCCAGAGTATTTCCCACTTCCAACAAATGTTGACCGACTGACAACAAATCCACGCTTTCCTGTTGCATTCTGGACAGCACTGGAGAAAATATGAGAAAATGTTCTTCAGTATTTTGTTTTTACTAATAAACGTAATTTTACATTCCTTTCCAAAGAAAAGAATAAACCAGTTTTAAAGGATTTATACTTCGCATGTACAATTTTTTTCAGATTTCTCAATATTGCCACAATTCAAGCATTTTATCAGTGATATGAATCTTTAAGAACACTACACAGAGGAAACAAAATTGGTTCAAAAAAAGACAAATCACCATACAGAAAAAAAATTATATACACTTTTAGAAGAAGTTATTAAGCTTATGTTAAGCATAAGAGTTTTTACAGTGTTTTTAAAAGAAAAGTTTTTACTTTTATTACACATTATACTATTATACAGGATTTCTCATCCATGGCTGAATACTAAAAACTCACAATAATTTTAGCAAAATAATAATACTGCTAAGTTTCCTTAGGGACCTCTCTAAAGTACTCAAAAGCAACGTTGTCTCTCTGGAGACTAAGGTGCACCTGATACAGGCCATGGTCTTTGCAATCACTTGTTATGCATCAGAAAATTGGACAATGACTAGGGATGATAGAAGGAGAATTGACGCCTTTTAGCTGCGGTGCTGGAGAAGAGTATTGAATGTTCCATGGACTGTCAAGAAAACAAACAGATTCATCCTAGAGAGGGTTAAATCAGGCTGCTCCTTGGAGGCAAGGATTCTGGGGCTTCGTCTGACATACTTTGGACATGTTGTAAG